GGGGGGCCGGAGGACCGGTGAGCGCGGGAGGGTCCGGGCCCCGCGGAGCGAGCCCTCTCCGTCGGGAACAGTCCGCCCGCCCGTCCGGGACGCCCACCCTCCCGTCCGTCCTCCTGCTGGGTCTCCTCCACGCGTCCTTGTTCATCTGTTTGTAACCCAGGAGCCAGGGGACCACAGGGTCAATTCCCGGGGCTCCATCCCCAGCGGGGCGCGCAGGAGGCAGCGGATCAGTGATTCTCATCATCGATGTTTCTCCCTCTCCCTCTCCCTCTCCCTTCCTCTCTGAAGTCAATGAAAATAAAAATAAAAGGAACTGCTCTGACCGGTTTGGCTCAGTGGATAGAGCGTCGGCCTGCGGACTGGAGGGTCCCGGGTTCGATTCCGGCCAAGGGCATGGACCTTGGTTGCGGGCACATCCCCATTAGGGAGTGTGCAGGAGGCAGCTGATCGATGTTTCTCTCTCATCGATGTTTCTAACTCTCCATCCCTCTCCCTTCCTCTCTGTAAAAAATCAATAGAATATATTTTTAAAAAATAAAAAAAATAAATAAAAGGAACAGACCGGGGGAGGGAGTCCTGTCTTGTCGTTCGTGGCGTCTGCTCTGCCGGGGGGTCCCCGGGTACGTGGCGAGCCGCCTGCTTGGCCAAGCGCCACACTTGAGTGTTGACTCAATGACTCTTCCTCCCGAGGCCTCGAGGTTGCCGAGCTCATTGGGAAACAGGCGGGGCCCCGGGGCGTGCCCCTCCCTTCCCCTGGGCGTCCTCCCCCCCCACCCCGTTCCCCTGGGTGCCCCCCGCTTCCCTGAGCGCCCCGCCCCCGCCCCGCCCCCCGGGGCGCAGCGCCCAGCTCACCATCGCTCAGCAGCAGCTCCACGGGCGCGCTGTCCAGGGACCAGGGCGTGTCCTCCCGGCGCAGCTGGTAGCGGCAGGTGTAGAGGCCGCTGTCCGCGGGCTTCAGGGACTTCAGCTCGAAGTTGACGGTGCCCGGGGTGGTGCCCCAGCTGGTGACCCGGAGCTCCCGGTCCCCGCGCCGCAGCTGGAACTCCACGCCCTCCACGGGCGCCACGCATCTCAGCGAGACCTGCGGGCTCGACGCGAACAGGACGGCGGCGGACTCCCCGGACTCCCGCTCCACGCTCAGCCGGGGCGGCGGCGGCCTGGCTGCAAGGCAGGAGGGCAGCTGGGGCGCTGGGGTCCCCCACCCCCTGTTCCCTGGGGAGGCCCAGCCTCCAGCCCCAGCCCTCTGCCCGCCCTGCGGCAGCCGCGGCCTCCCCGCCGCACCGCGTGGGCCACTGTTTCCCAGACCCAGGCCCGGGCAGGGGCGTCCAGGTAAAGGCAGTTCCCCTGGCCTCCGGGAGCCGCCTCCCCCGGGAAGCCCTCCGGGTGGCCCCCAGGCTCACGCATGTCCTCGATGGTCACAGTGGCGCTGGGCTCAGAGGGGGCGCCGGCCTTCGTGGGTTGCGGTAGCTGCAGCTGTAGTTGCCGGCCCGGTGGA